ATTGGATTCAAATTTAATTCCATCCATTACAGTAACCCACTTGTAACCTACTGTACAGCAGAGCGACATACACGACTTACCCGCTTTTTTTGGTTGCTTATTCGACTTCGTTGTTCGTTATATGGAAGTTTCACTGTATAATATACATACATATTATTTATAACTAAAATTTTTAATGTAATATATTATCTATATCTGTAAGAAAAACTAACGAATTCCAACTTCACATGAATAGTTGACTATTCTTAAAGATGACATTTTTATTTTTGTCATCATATGCTTGATTCAGAAAGTGTGTTTATGCAATAAGTATTAAGTACTTATCTAAATGTTTATCGACCATGCATGGATATAAAATATCCTAAAAAATAGAAGCTGACACACTGTCAGAATTGTTTTTCATATCTTAGGTATAGCCCTATTTAGGTATATATTATAAAAATGATTTATCATTGCATTCAAATTTAACGCATATCTATTACAATGACCTTAGTCAATGACGACTTATGAGGTAAAAACTTTAAACCAATACAGTAAAGCGAATTTCATTTTTTTTAGGATTAGGAGGTGTTATTCCCCTACACCACCACCAACACTATCACAACAACCCAAAGTATATACATACTACATCCGTTTTGCTATTAGAAACCTAAACTTCAATATTGAAATTTGAAGCATTTTTTTTTTGCTTTAAACACAAAAAATAAAAATAAATATATATAAATCAGCGAAAATCATTCACACGCCCTACAAATTACAACACATACAACACATATTTTTACGTGTCATTATTTTCGATCATAACATCACACTGTATTATATTTACACCCGTTTTTCAGCAATAACTTTTAATTATGATTTTCATTCCAGCTGATGGTTATTACATTTTCTTTCATCAAGAGAGTTGTTTTAATTTCCTCATTTTAGAACTCGTATACTTTCTTTGGTCCTGATGAATCACTGTTTAATATATATGTATAAGATGGTAGGGGATTAATACATAATTAATTTTAAAAAAAAAATTGATAAATATATGTAATTCTATTTAACGAATTTCTCCATATTACGAATTTTTTTGGTTGCTTATTCGACTTCGTTATATGAAAGTTTCAATATATTAATGTATAATATTAAAAATAAATGATGAGTATACCACATAGCGTATTAACGTATTGTATTATTGAATTGTATTAGTAACTTTATTATATTATACTAAAATGYACCATGTATATTTCATAATTTCATATGACTCAGCTACAGTACGTCTCGAGTCCCATCTCCTAGGCCTAATAAGACTTTGTGAATATAATAAAGATGAGACGTCCTATCTATTCTTTAGTTACTCTAAATACGATAAATTTGTAGTAATTAGCTGCACTCAACTTAGTTGAGTCAACACTGTAATATAATTAAAAAGAACAACTATTTATTAAGTTTGTTTTAATGCAGTTACTTATATCTTATGCACTTTTTATTTCCATCCTAAATCCACAGTTGATTCCTATAAGTTTTCTATATCGACCATCGAAAATCTCGTAACGACCTACACTGACTGCTCGTTTATTGTATCTGGTGATTTTAATTTTCCTGGTATTGATTGGTCAAATGACGAAAATGGTGAAAAATACTCGACATCAACCAGTTGCCATGCTCACTGTATCCCAGAAAGCAGAAAACTTTAATATTTTGCAGTTAAATGAGGTTAAAAACCACTATGGTTTCGTTTTAGATTTAGTCTTTTGCAGCTTATGCAATATGACTATTGTGAGGTCTGATGAGTATGTTGTACTTGAAGATCGTTACCACCCTACCTTGATTTCTGATACTGTATTGGCCCCTGTTCTGAATAATTCTGTGTCAAATCATCTCTTCTTTGATTTTAATAAAGCAGATTATGAAAAAATTGAACAATTTCTATTGTCTTACAATTGGTTAAATATAATTAACTCTTTAAATGTTAATGAAGCAACTAACGCCTTATATGATGCTCTTCATTTTTGTATTATTCATTTTGTGCCTCAGGTCATATTCAAGAAGTCCAGGAATTCCCTGTGGTTCTCCAATGACTTTAAAAGGCTGACCATTCAAAAAAGAAAAGCCCATGCTGCTTACAGAGCCACGATGTCCCCTCTTGACTACTCCACTTTTTCTTACCTTCGAGCCTGGTATAAGTTCCTTTCCAAGAAATGCTAAGATAACTACATTAAACAAGTTGAAACGTCCTTTTGTACCAATCCCAAATCTTTGTGGGATTTTGTGAGGAAAAATAAAAATAGTTCCAACTTGCCTACTACTGTAAATTTTAATGGTATTTCCAGTACCAATAGAAATACTATGTGTGAGCTTTTTTCCAAACATTTTAGTTCATTTTTTTTCCTCTCAAAGCTTAAATGTTAATTCCCGTGGTCCATATAGATTACCATATGATCTTCCTTCTTCGTGTAATATTAGTCTTTCCGATGTTGAGTCAAGCCTACGTCTTACTAAATCGGTCGGACCAGATGGGCTCTCAGGTTTTTTTATTCACAACCTTAGGTCTGTTTTGTGTTTTCCAACTATTTCTCATTTATAATAAATTATTGTCTGAAGGTTTATTTCCTGATATTTGGAAACTCAGCTCGGTTACTCTGATCTTTAAGTCAGGTGACATTACGAACGTCATAAATTACAGGYCAATCAGTATCATCAGTCACTTTGCCAAACTACTTGCGTCATTAGTTTTTAAGTCCATACATAGGYCCATTAATAAAATCATTATTGACGAACAACATGGCTTTCGTCTTGGGCGTTCTGTTACAACTTGTAATTTAATTTTTACTGAGTACGTCTTTGAGGCTTTCAGTAAACATTCACAGGTTGGTTCCGTCTATTTGGACTTCGCGAAGCCGTTTGACTGCGTAGACCATCGCGCATTAATGAGCGTTCTGTATAATCTTGGGTTTGGTGAGCCTCTATTATCTTGGTTCAGTTCCTATTTGTCTGAGAGGAAACAGGTTGTCAAGATAAATGGCTTCTGTTCCAGCCCAACTAGTGTTACCTCTGGTGTACCCCAAGGCGGATATCTATTATCTCCCGTTCTTTTTGCACTCTTTGTTAATGGCATCAAAGATGTGATCAGCACAGCGAACTTCTGTTGTTTGCTGACGATATAAAACTCTTTCTCCGTATCGACACCACTGATGATTATAAACTCTTAAAACATGATCTTGATGCTGTTGCTCACTGGGCCCGGGGACTAGGCTTAGAGCTTAGTATCCCTAAATGTCATATCATGATCTACACTCGTTCTAATGAGCGTGTCATGTTTATCTACACCATCAATGACGTTGCTCTAAAGCATCCAGGTGACTGTGTTATTGACCTTGGCATTACTTTTGATCAATCGCTTACTTTTCGTAATCATATTGAGAAAGTTACTTGTAAGGCCTTGAAGCTTCTAGGATTTGTGAAAAGAATTTCGGCTGAATTTAAACTGTCTAGCTCTCTTAAGACATTATATTGCTCTTTTGTTCGGTCTGTGGTAGAGTATGGAGTAATTATTTGGGATCCTAGCACACTTGATGGCAGTAGTCAACTAGAACGAGTCAAACGTAAATTTTTGAAATTTGCTGCTTTCGCATTACACATTGAATTTCAACCTCGCGARTACCTACCTATGTTACAGTGCCTCCATTGTCTACCCTATGTGACAGGAGAAAACAGGCTAATCTTAATTTCCTTACTAAACTTATAAATGATGAAGTCGAATCCCCTGCCCTCCTATATAAACTTAATTTCAGAGTTCCAAGTTTTTACTCCAGATACTCGTTTCCTTTCCAAATTCCTCTTAGCCGCTGTAACTACTAACTATCAAAAAAATCGTCCTATTGTCCGTATGACGAAACTAGCCAATGAGAACCCACTATTCCTGAGTGCTTGGCATTAGATTATTGTCTGTTCGCTCTATATCTTAATATTCTATATTTTGTATTTTTGTAATTTATGTAACATTCTCTTAGTATTATGGTTACTATTCTATGTAATTGGGCACGTCCAGTTTTTCAATAAATAAATAATTGTTTAAATATTATGCTGTTTCATCTTAATATTTGTATTATTCACACATGACGCAAGATAAATTGTACCTATTACCTATAACTGTTATATTAAAGCAAATTGATTGGCAATCAATTTCAAACATAAAATCAATATTTTTCCAAGCGTGAAGTTTTTYTTTTAGATAAGGTCCTAATTTTAGAAAAATAATGACAAAAAAGAAAACAGAAGTATCAAGTATAGTTCTCAACAAATTTGCCTTAACGAACAGTGGGTATCCCTATACTATTTACTGGGAGTTGAAGCGAACCCATTTTAACTCAATACTTACATATAAAACAAATATAAATAAATTTATGTATTTTAATACATAAATCCTACATAGTTATATTTAAAAATAAGGAATACAATTTTACACGAAAGCTCAAGAAATATATTGTAATCAAATATTTTTTATTATTTTACAGACAAGCTTATTCATTTTTTGATTTTAAATTTGGCTACTTGTTTATAAGTGAGAGTCAGACTTTTAAAAAATATAGTTCTAATTTTGTACATACTACTGTACTAACATATTGGAATATGTATAATGGTTGATATTTAGTTTTTGCGTTTTTACGTTTTATCGTTGTATTTAAGTTCTTTAATGCAATACTGTTTTATGTTTTAATTGAAATAGTTTCGGATTAATATATAATACTTCCCATTAATTCTGCCTTAAACAAAATGTTAAATTATCGTTTTGATATATAACGAAATATAGGTAACTTCTTTGATATAAAAATTGAAGAAACTGAAAAGGACGAAGATAAACCTTTTTGGAATATAATTCGTAAGAATAACAAATTTAAATATAGTGTATAATACAGTACTTATTGTACGTGTTTTGAATGTTATGCGCAAAGAAATGCGTAGGTAGGTGTATTAAAAATGTATGAAAGATAGTTTTTAAAATATATACATAACATGAGTACCTAAGTAAATGCACATAATATGTTCAGTTTTAAAAACATTTGAACTTTTTACTTTAGTTGACCTATGGAAGTTCTATTGAAGTATGCTTCACATATTGTCTGAAAAATTCATATTTTCATGTCCTGATTCAATTAGACTTATAAAATTAAAATATTTTATAAATACCATAGAAACAAAGCAGTTATTTAATCAAAATAACATAGTACATACTAGCAAAACATTAATATTCGTTAAACTTAGACCTTAGTTCTAAGACCGAGCCTCACTAAGCCACTATACATAAWTTATTACACTTAATAAGTGTACGGTTTTATAATATAAATAGGTAATAATCATTAAAATATATTAGAAACTTAAAAAACCATTGTTAAAAGAACATACCGTTATAAATCGCGACGATGTAAATAACGTGACACCATATTGAATGTTTTATTCAGTATACTAATTCAGAAATTTTCAGTAATCTTTGATATTTTTTTGTTATATCATATTTTTTTTAAAACATTATTAGTCTGAAAAGTTTTTTTTCAATTTAAAAAACTAACCAAGTTAGATAAGTCAAAATTTGGATTTATGTATTTTTCGTGTTTAATGAAATATTCATTCATAATCACTGGACAGTGGCATATTTGAGATTTTGTCGAAAGGAGAGATTTAATCTATCGTATTAGATATCTGCAGTATACCACGGGTTAAAATAATAATTTATATTTTATAGGACCAACAAAAAAACATGCAAAAAAGCTAATCAGTATTATGGCTCTATATTATTTTTACGGGTATGATTATTCACGATATTATTCTTTACATATCTAACTTTTTCATTAATAAATACCTACATAAAATTATTTAATTTCAGATATAATCATGTAATTTGTGCAGCAAATGGATGGAATCCTCCACTTAAATCTTTCAAAAGAATCCGACAAGTACACAAACCAAATATCCAATTCACCAATCGCATTGTTTCTTTTTACATTAAAATATATTTCTCATACACACTGACTAAGTCTCAATGACTAAGTTATCACTTAATGCCTATATTAACATTTCATCTTATAGCTCAATATTTTTGTATACATATATATATTATTATTATATTTTCAAATTGTATACACTATACATAATTGATATATGGGAAATATATGTTTTAATTATTTGTTTATATTTGAATGTTTATTATAGCTACTTTAAAGAATATGAATAAAATAAAATAAGCATTACATAAAAAGTTATATATTAACGCTCCTGACGCCCATTATCTATTTTCACTTGTAAAAATTTGTAATTRAATTCAAATTCAATACATTCATCACTCTATCTCAGTAGTTTAGGAACTGAATGACCAATTTCACTCAACAGCTATTAACATTACATACATTACAAAAATTCGACTTAGTATGTAACATAAATTGATGTTGACTGAAACTTGTCGTTCAGTTCACAACTAAAAAATATTGAACTATATGTATAGTGTACCCATACAAATTGATCACCTTGTACAAGTCGCGTTTTACTCGTGACGTTATAAAATCACGTCGTCCGTATCTAAAATAAATGCGTGGTATTTACTTCAAATGATAGTTTATATATTTGTACATTAATATTAACTTTGTGCACTTATAATCTGTGCTACTTTTTTATATATTTATTTATTAAAATGTTAATGAAAAAAATGGTGTTATTAATTCATGATATTTTATTATATTTCACCATTTGAAAATCAAAAATTGATAGTGATTTAAAAAATAAATAGAAGGGTGAACAAATTAAAATAATACTATACGGTTTTAGAAAAACAGTAATCTTAAAATTCAAAAATTCATAAAAAGTTAATGCCCTTTGAGATAATTAGTGTACCCATATAGATTGATCACCTTGTACAAGTCGCATTTTACTCATGACGCCATAAAATCATGCCGTCCGTATTTAAAATAAATGCGTAGTAATTATTTATCACGACTAAAATAACTATAGGAAAAAATTAATTTAAGGTTTAAGTAATTTAAATGCATTTATAAAAAAGGTTTTACATTTTTTGAGATGATCATTTCATCTTTATTGAATTAAAATTTGACGACAAAAATATACAAAATAGCAAACATAAATATTAAATTATATTTTATATATATTTGTCGTCAAATTTTAATTCTATAAAAATGAAATGAGCATCTCAAAAAATGTATARCCTTTTTGTAAATGCACTTAAATTACTTAAACCTTAAATTAATTTTTTCCTATAGTTATTTTAGTCATGATAAATAAATACTACGCATTTATTTTAAATACGGACGGTGTGATTTTATAACGTCAGGAGTAAATTGCGACTTGTACAAGGTGATCAATCTATGATTAGGTTAGGTGTATAGGGTATGGGTACACTAATTATCTCTAAGGGCATTAACTTTTTATGAATTTTGAATTTTTGAATTTTAAGATTTATGTTTTTCTAAATCCGTATAGTATTATTTTAATTTGTTCACCCTTATATTTATTTTTGAAATCACTATCAATTTTTGATTTTCAAATGGTGAAATATAATAAAATATCATGAATTAATAACAGATTAAACAAAATGAACGTCACACACAGTTAAAGTTGCTCAGTCATAAACATTTTATAAATACATCATTTTTAGATGATACATGATTCAAGTACAAATAAGTGAATACAAACTTTAAAAACAAAAAAAAATGTATAGGTACCTAATATTGGAAAAAAGTGTTGTAAATTTTTTATAATAAACAATTTATAAGTACGCGTTTTTTATTCAAAAAAGGGGGCATGAGATAAGTTATTTAAAAAAATAAGTTCAAAATGGCTATTATTAAAAGTGTTTGAGTACAGCATGATTATTAAATATGCAAATGGAAAAATAATTTTGGAAAAATTTACACAAAATATCTATAATATAGGTAATATGTTCATATGTAAATGATTTGTATAGCCACAAATAGGGGAGACAAACAATAAACTAGCAAAAATATTGACAAGATAATTACAAAATTAAATAAGAAAATAATATACATCGAACAGCCGGACAGGAGACACAAAAAACCACGAGTAGAGGATACGAGAATGCGTTTGGGTGCGGATATGCAAGTTTTGGGGCATTAGTCACCTCCACAACATATAATATTTCATAATTTTTATTCTTAATGGAGTATGAATTGAATTCAAAGTTGACATGATTTCAAATATTTTAGACGTACATTTTTTTTTTTCATTCAATTTGTCAATGTTTCAAAATTCCAAATGTCATAAATGACCTGTGTGATTTCCGCGTTGATCCGTTGCATCATACATAATTCACCGTCACAATTAGAGGATATTTGTCAAACTTCTACACAGAGTTCACCACACTTAACCTTATTCAGTCAATTGATTGCTAAAGTAGGGTATTATTATTATATTACCTTCTATCATTGTATTTAACGACCGCTTCAGAGCTTCAGAGTTTGGAACGTTTTTCTCGCAAATATAATAATAATAATATATTATATCGCTTAAAAACTCGAGTGTACCTCCCTACCAATACCTACTCGAAAAAGAGGGCAGTTTCAACGTGGTAGCTTTTTAG